TAGAGCCAAACAAGAATGTATAATTACCAGATCATTTATTATCTACACTAAGTATAGGCATAATTCCTCCTTGCAACAATTCTAATAATGTTTCACTCTTCCTTCAGAGGGGGAGGACAAGGATGAGGAGGAGAAGGAGAAGGGGAGGAGGAGGAGCAAAAACTATTTCCAAAGGAGAAAAGAAAAGCCAAATTGTATCTGTCAGTCTTTGAGAGGACTCTGTCTTCACCATGAATGAGATGGGGAAAATCTCTGGCACTTTATATAAATTACCAGTTTGCAAAGGATTGCATGGGGATACGCACTAACTAAGTTTGAGCAGTAGAGCATTTGGTTTGCACCCATAGAGAAGTCATGATCTGAACCGAGTCATGATCTGAACTGCATTGAAGGGGGTCCTTCAGCCTCTGTACTGAGAAGACTGTAGGAGTCCATGACAGAAATAAGGAAGCATCAACAGCTAAGTGAGGTGTAGAAAAGTTTTGAGCTAGCAGTGCAAGTGTTGAAGAGGCATTAACTTGTGCATGTATTTTCATAAAAGAACCACCGGTGAAATATTTGCTAGTAGGCTGAATATGCAGCATAAGAGAGAAAAAGTGACCTCCACATGTGTTTGTTTTGGTTTGTCCAAAGCAATTCCATTCTTCCATTTTGAAGAATGGAATTTCCATTTACTACAATATGGATAATAGGTTAGGTTCTTAGGGCAGTAAATTTGGATGTATTGAGATGTTTCTTAATCACACCAGTGGAGGTGATGAGCAGGCATTCTGATCTATTAAAAAGGAATCAGAAGCAAAGAAATATTTTTTTAAAAGTTCTACAGTAGTTCTGTTGTAAAGAAGTTTTTATGTGATCATCGCATATTTTACACACACAGAATATATTGCCTTGTAGGGTGATGCCATATAAGGCCGAGGATTGCCAAAGTCACCAGAACGTGGAGAAAACACATAGGACAGATTTTTTCCTCAGAATCTCTAAAAGGAACCAATCCTAAAGAAGACTTTGGACCCTGGCCTCCATGAACAGTGAAAAAATAAATTTAGGGTGTTTTAAACCTCACAGCCTCTTTCTACTTTAGCTCCCATAAAGATTTGGGTGGCCAGGGAGTTCTACTGATCTGAACTATTTTATTGTTCTTGACTTGGGTTGTTGATTTAAAATGTCCAATAGCTAAAATGAAATGGCTCTTCTTCATGTAGCCACTCAGCCTCCAGTACGAGAGCCAAAGCTTGGTCCCATGGCAAAGGTCCAAGGAGAATGAAAAAATATGGTACATCTACCAGCCTCAGTCTGTTGCTGAAGCACATTAACCAACTGCACAGAAAGTCAGACGGTAAAGTCCAGACTTAATGGAAAGGGAGGGAGATGTGAGACAGACGTGAGGCATAATGAAATCACTTTACAAAGCATGATTGCTGTTGATGATGCTTGATTATGTATTTTTCCAAATGTCAAGAGTTATCTGCTATTTAAGCCACTTCTACAGGATTGTAATATTTTCTAGATGATTCTCATTGGACTTCTGTCTGTGTGCAGGAAAGAGTTAAGTAGCTATTCTATAATACATACATTCTTTTTGAGGAGGACGAGCACAAATGACCTCATTAATTGCCTTATCAGTGTGATAATTACAGTTCAAGATAAATAGTCTAATAATATTTTCTGGAAAGAGTCTGTATCTTTGGGATATCTTTAATGGGGTACCCCTGGTCAGGCAATGTTTATAGTTAATAAGTATATAATTTATAAATTTATAATGTCTGGCTTCTTGGAAAATGTAATGGATCATTTCATAAATTAAATGCTTCCCACAGTAGAAGATAAAGACAACCTAGGGACGCTAGGCCAGACAGTGTGTGTCTGACATAAAATAAGAGGACCAGTAAAGAGACTTTCCTTGGCCCAGTCCTCCTCGACTTCCCAGTATACCTCACTCTTCTGAACAGCTGGAGTGCATGGTTAGTTTCAAGCTATACTTGATCGCCTATATTAGCCAGGCTTTATCCTGCATGAGGATTCTGATTTGTGTGTATACAACTTTGCAACGCATTCCTTTATATTACCACAGCATATCTGCTCAAAAAATATGCTAGTAACATTTTCAAAATACTTTAGGAGCATAATTTCCTATAGTCCAGCAGCATGAAATAAAAGCAATTCCATTCCAATTGGTTTACTGTCCTGTTCGCGTGGTCAGAATTCACACTTTGGTAGAATAATAACTGCTCATGGAGGCTATAATTTACTAACTGTAAGAATACATATGAATATTTATTCTTTGTATGTGTGTTTATTTAGTCCCTACACTGTGTTAGTCATTGCTAAGGATGCAAACCAAATGCTCTACTGCTCAAACTATAGTTAGTGTGTATCCCTATGCAATCCTTTGCAAACTGGCAGTTCTCTAAAGTATGGTGAATATATTCTTCAGATTGCAACACTCTCAAAGTACTATTCACATTTCTAAATACTAATGCTCAATTTCTATGCAGACTAGCCATGGTCTAAAGAAAGGAAAAGTCTTTTATTCTAAACTCTGAGAAGCACTGCAGAGGAAGCACAACGCAGCAGTAAAAAGGCTCTAAATTTTATTCCAGTAAAGTTTACTGAGTAAACAAAGTGCAATGTAGCATCAATAACATGCGACTCTATAAAATTTAAATAAATTTAAATATTATAAAATAGAAGTTTCTGTTCTGCTGGAAGAAAATAATTTTGGAAGGATGGCACATCTCTGTGAGCCAAAGTTCAGAGTTGATCCCAAGAGTTTTGTCCAAGAATGGAGACCAAATGGGAGTGGATAAGTCAGCAATAATGCTCTGTACTTCTAAGTTTTATACTCTGCATTTTTTCTTAATTATGAGTATCTACTACCTATTCAAGTTGATTAAGCTAGATTATACTAATATAATAGAAGTAAAGCCTATAAAGTAAAATGTATATTCCTGAAATCCCTTTCAAATTATTCATAAATTGAATAATAATAATATGGTCTCAGCGCATTTAATCTCCTCTCTGCTCATGTGTCCCAGACCTAATTTGCTATGATCCCTAAATCACACCTCACCACACAAATACACACACAAACACATGATATAAGTTACATGTGATATTTCTTCCAGCTTTTCTACCACTGATTTTATTTCTTTGGTATAAATGAAGATGATTCATATCAGGTTTTCCTAGCACTTGTGAAGTTGACTTTTTCTTCTATTCTTTGGGGACATTGCATCTATCCAAAAAAAAGGATCAAAGAACACAAGCGTGATGATATTTGAGCACAGCTGTTTCTCTTGTTTCTGATAGCAGTCATATGAGAGCCACATGAGAAGGCCAGCTTGTGTATGAATGGGAAGAGAGTTTTTCAGAAGCAACCACAAATGCTTATTACCCAACGCTTGTTATGAAGATATTTAGATATTAGAGCAAAGTTGCTGCCTGAGAAACCAGCTCATATTAATAAGAAAGAAATAACCAAAAAAATTATCAAAGTTGTTCATCAGTCTATATTGTCAGGATGATTCACAAAATTGAACCTGTTTCAAACATATATGGATAGCACTTCTTGACATTTTGAAAACACAAAAGAATCATAACTATATTAAGACAATTCCATTTCTAAGACTCGATGCCAACTGCTGCATTTGGGGAGTATGGTTTCATAGATAATTAAGATTTGGTGTCTGTCTTTAAGTGTTTGTTCAGTCTAGAGGAAAGATGAATCAAGTCAATAAGTACTAAAATATAATGTAAAATATGTTACAAACCATCAGAAATGTAAAAAATAAATATAGGCAAAATGCAAAGTAAGAAAATTGCGCCTGAGTTTAGTGTTCCAGGGTAAGTTTCACGAAGAAGGCTGAGGAAAATGTAAAATCAGATTGTCAGGGAAATGTATCTGCACCACCTTCTTCACAGGCTCTGGAAAGATGTGTTTTTCTATGCAGTAATCAGATCCTTAGCAGGAAAACTGTTCACAGCTGAGATCTGTCAGTTATTAGGTGCTCAGCAGTCTGTCCTAAAAACACCCTCCTTCTGGTGGTTGGTCTATGTTCTGGAAGGTGAGCTTCCTTGTGTTTTATGAACACGTCTGCAGGAAAGAAGTGGTTTTGCATGGAAAGTTGGGTTAGAAATCTTTAGCACACACCACAGAATGCTATCTTTTAGAATTGGGAGAAGCATATACCTAAGTATTAAATATTTGGTTTCTACATGTGAATGGTATTGCAAAACCTTCAGAAGATGAAGTTTGGAATTAGACGTGGTGGGGTTTAAGCATCTACTGTGACATTATCTATGGACCTTGGATAAATGAATTTACTCTTCTGCACCATTGATTCTTGTCTTGTAAAATGAACAGTTAGTAATACATATCTATATGTCTGGCACAGGCTAAGTAGTCAGTAAACCTTTCTTATTATAGTGATAATAGAATAATTATTATTACTTGCCAAACATAAATACTTCATACACGAGGTCAAGAGTACAGTTCGCCTTGCTTGTAAATATCTCCACAAATTTTCCAATTAAGCAGGTTCAACCATTTTTATGGTTCTCATTATATCTCACCTTCTATTTTCTTTAATGTTAAATATAGTTCTGGTCTTCTAATGTTCATGAGATCAAATGCAAATTAACATTTCTTGGTTAAGTGACAGAATTACTAAGTAGCTGAAGAGATGCTAAGAGTAACTCATATAAGCCATTTCTAGTACCATAATTTCATTCCAATAAGGACCCAATTACCATGATTAAAAGAATACTAATGTTGCTTAGATTCAAATCGTGGTTCTGTCACAATTTCAGGTGAGTACCTTTGGCAATTCATTTCTTCAAGCACCATCTTTTTTTTTTTTTACTGGTAGAGAGAATAAGTAGAACTCTTTATTTTTTCTATATTTTCATTTTTTTATTTTAAAGAAAATAGTACAAAAAAGAACAAGAGCAAAATACAAACAATATGAAGCAAGGACATTAAAAGTGTTACAGGGTTTCAAACCAAATGATGGAGATTAACAGTGGTTGGTACATTGCATATTGTTATCTTCAACAAAGTTGCTCAGGCTGCCAAATATTCCATAGGGTTGTTGCTCCTTGATCTGCTCTCAGATTTTCCAACCTTTTAGAAATGTTTGGGACATCAGTCAACACAGAATTATCCAAACCATAAAGTTTCCATTATGGTTACTGGACCCCAATAGCTTCCAGAACAGTTATTTGATTACACTAGGTTATTTCTGAATATTTTAAACTATATTTTAAAGAATATTTACTTGTTTAACTGTTACTTAATATTTACTGCCTTAGAAGTAATATAGCCTCACTTCAAATTATGTCTCTAATAAACTAACAGTTGACTAATACATGACTTTTAGTGGTCCATTTAAGAAATAGGTAATTGATTATAGATTTTTCTCAGGAACTTCTGTGCAGTATATGTGACATTGATGTAATTCATGCATTGCAAATTCTTTTTTCCACAGAGTGAATATTACATATGAAGGGAAAGAAAAGAACTAATGATAGATTAACAGGATAAGTAACCTAATATACAGCCAGGAATTTGAAAGCTTGGATCTATGTAACTGAGTCTTATCCAACAAATCATGGGTGGGGTTGCACTCCTCAGCAGAGCTTTCTAATCGCAATCATTACCTCTAGAATAATACTGTTTACAATGCTGTTCTTAAAAATAAAATGAATTTTTAAAATAATTTATAGTGTGTTTCACTAAAAATGGTATTGACATTAAATTTTCCTCAACATGCTTCTGGAAAACAAACTCCTCTCCCCAACTTCAAATCAGTACACACCAATACCATCATCCTTTCTAGTTGTAGAAAAGTACCGTGAAAAAAAAGGGGGGGCCATAAAACTGAGTTTCCAGGAATCTCACCAATACCCCTCACCTGAAATCACTTGATTTTCTTGGATTTCATGATGCTATTCACCTCTTGGGATCACAGGATTATTCTGTAAAGATTAGAACTTCAACATCTATTCAGTCAGCTACCTACAAAGTTACTCATTAACTTGCCTAACATTTACTGAGTGGATATCAAAGCTCAGGTGTTGTATTCTCATAGCAAAATAACAGAAAAGAAATACAGCCTTTTGGTTTCCTTCACATTAAAGTAATTTCTGCAACAAGTTTAGAAAGAAGAAATTTGTGTAAGGGAAATTTTCTATATAAAAGGATAGGGAGGAGAAATATTAGTATGTGATCTACTTTCTTATTATACAAGTAATGCATGAATGGATGCTCGTACCAACATCAAATACAAAGGTTAGGAAAGGACAGAACATAGACAAGGAAATAGATGTAAGGGCTTTTGGAAAAGAAGCTCATGGTATAATATAATGCTACAATTTGTTTTCCCCATGGATATGTTTTGAGGATTTTTCCCATGTTGATCTATTTGACTACACTTTCTTCTCCTTTGCCTCTTCTTATTCATCCTTCCCTTCTCTTCCTCCCTCCTCACCTTCTTCTCCTTCTTCTCCTTCTCCTCCTTCTCCTCCTTCTCCTCCTTCTCCTCCTCCTTCTCATCCTTCTCATCCTTCTCCTCCTCCTTCTCCTGCTTCTCCTCTTTCTCCTCCTTCTCCTTTTCCTTTTCCTTCTTCTCCTTCTCCTTCTCCTTTTCCTTCTTCTCCTTCTCCTTCTCCTTCTCCT